TTAAATTTGCACTAAACATTTTGTATTTACTTTGTAACAATAACTTCTATCTAAATAGTTTTTGTTGTTTTTTTTAATGAGGGCAAAAGAAATTCATGTTTTTTTTATTATTTAAAAGCAAATGCAAACATATCGAGATATATATTGAATATCGTAAAAATTGACAATATCGATATAATTTTTTTTATATATATCACCCAGCCCTATTGCGATCTGAAAAATCAAGCTGATGAATTAGTTTTCGTTCTCGCCATTGTTGCCCTGGTGGTCAATGAGGGCTAAAGGACCACAGATGTCAGGTCCCTTTGAGCAGGCAAGAGCTTTTTGAAGGCCATTGAGGGCTCTTGAATTGAACAAATTAGCACCGAATTATTGTGATAACCCCTAGCCTCTAGTTCATTATCTGTCCTATCAACTTAGAGAAAGGGAGGGTGAGAAGAAGAGGGTGAACGAGTGAGCTGGGCTGTGGGGTTGAAGCAGATTTTGTTCTTATGTTCTCAGATTGATGCAGGCTAAATTACCCCATTGACTTTGAGGGCCTTTGATCAAATACCTCGCTGTAATTAAACAGCTCTGAGAGGTTTAAAGGTTTTAGTTAATAACCAGTGCGCTATGTGTCAGACTGACTCCCTCATTCCAAGAATTTTGTGTTGTTAGAATTGCTTTTTCTGAGAAATAAACGATCTCATGGTGGTTCAAAGATTTTGTGCAGTCTACCGAAATCCCTGCTAGGGATGGGCCATGATGGTCGACTAATCAGATACTTGTCCAACAACCAGTAGCAGTGTGTCTTATGTAAGAAACATGTCCAATTGGGATGAGGTGAACCGTGAAACCAGCCTATTTATACATATATGTATATCTCACTGGGATTATAATGCTGTCTGACAAACAACAGTTGTAAAAGGTGCACTATTTATCGGTTAACCAGATATTTAAATATTGATTAGGCAAAAACGGTTAATAACAGTAAATAGTATTGGTCTGTCTTTACTAATGTGAATGAATTTGAAAAACTGTTTTAAATGACATAATTTATTGTAAAACCAACTATTTAAGAACCAATAACATTGTCAAAAAACGTAAATATCGGTAAAAAAAAAAAACCGGTCGATCTGGTTATTGACTGTCTCTACTATTATGGATGAATTTGAAACACTGTTTTCATTGGCACCATTTATGGGTAAACCTGGTATTTAAGATCTGATCACAGATCATGTGAAAAAATTTACATATTGGGAAAAAAATAACGGTCAATCTGATTATTGTCTCTCTGCTATTGTGCATGAATTTGAAACACTGTTTTCAGTGGCACTATTTATGGATAAACCCAGTATTCAAAAACTGATTACCAGTTACACACAAGTCACAATATTGCTAAAAAGTTAAGGTCAAATCAATTGTCATCTATCTCTACTAATGTGTATGAATTTGAAATACTCCTTTAGATGGCACCAACTTAAAATGTTAATGTAAATCAATGTAAGAATAGAGAAGTGTTAATATCAGTAAAAAAAAATAAAAATAAAAATAATATATATATATATATATGTGTGTGTGTGTATAGGTCAAACATATTTTACTGGAACCAAAATGTCACCATTTATTGGAAAACCTGAACTATCTCTATTACTGTATGAATTTGAAACACTGATTTAGATGTCACCATTTTTCAGTAAACCTGAAATTTAAGTGTAAAACAAGAAGTGTTAAGATTGGTAGAAACGGTTCATTTCTAGTATTTCTGTTGCAGTTGACCATAAATTGCATTTCTTTCAGTCTTGCACATCAGGACTTTCTTTATTTGATTTTGTGACAGAAATCCACTCTCCTGGGGCTGTTGACAACTAGGACAGGGTGCAAGCTTGTCTCTTAACTTCACAAGGAGATGCGTCTCCGAGCGAAGTGGGTCCTGTGTACTCGCTGTAGCTGGATGAGGGGCAACGAATCTCTCCTCAAGGCTCTTGATCATGGAGGCAATTAAACCCAGTTTCACGCCTTATCCCCAGACACAGCTGATACCCCCACTCCTCCTTTTATCTGTCTTCATTAAAGCCAGCAGGCGGCCTGTCAAATGACAAGAGTGAAAAGAGAGCGAGCCAAACAAACGCCTCAGCCAAAATGGCCAGAACTGAAGTGTCATTTACAGACATTTCGTGTTCAGAAGGCTGAAAGGCATAATTGTTCAGTTTACTTTATGTACAGCCTAATATTTAGTCCCTCTTAAGGAAGCTCAGAAATTGACCAAGATAGGGCTCAGCCATATGGCCAAAAATATTATCATATTTCTTTCCGTATCATAAAATATCAGTATTTATCAATATTCATTTACCATCAATGGGGAAATGCTTTCCACATGTTTTTTAGACCTTGAGAATTAATGTAAATGTAACTTGTTTGCTCGCAATTAAACTCTGCCGAGGAGCTGTCTTTTAATTTTCCATGAAAAATCTGTGGTTCCATGAAATCTGTTTCATTTTCCACTAAATTCTGTTTTCAGTCTTTATTTTTTTTCTGTATTCTTTGATTTAATATTTAATACAAAGTAATCATCAAAATGGTGTTACAACAAAACATTACATTTTTTCATTTTTTTTTGTCAGATAAGATGCATGACAAAACTGTATAAATTGGATGTAAAAATATCTTGGTTGTTTGATATTCCTTAAAAATAATCATAATATTATTATATTGATAAGTACATTTTAGTACATAATATTAATATATTTCTGTCATAATTTCTTCAAGTAAAACTGAACTTTTATTTTGGCGGTTTGTCTTGAAGGTCTTTGAGCGTCAGTGTATGTTTGATATTTTTTTCTCAAATGAAATGGTGTAAAGCTGGTGAAGTGACTCTCAGAGCAGCTCTGGAGATGAAGTTTGTGTGTTCATGTCTCATATTGAAACAGCAGACGGTGAAAACATTGTTAGCATCATGTGTGTTTGGTTTTTTTGTATAGTAGATACAACTACACCATTTGTTCACACAGAGACACGCAGAACATGCAGACTTACTAGCCACATGCACTGACTCATTGTCGTGTTTATTTCTGCTTTGTGATCGGCTATAAAGATTGAGGAAAAATGTCCAGAACTTATCATTGTTAACGACATAATTTATATTGCTATCTCTATGATATTGTTCACTGCCTAGCCCTAGACAAAGATACAAGTAATGCAAGATTTTTTTATTTAACCTTTTTTCTTGACCTACACAGAACCGTAGATCACTACACAAAATTGCAGTCGATTCATTGCGATTATGAATGCGATTTTGCGTAGCTTGTCATTGAACTACGGCTCTGTGTAGTAAATGCCGCTCCATCTGAAAGCACGTGCTGGAGATTTACTACTAATCACAGAAGCTGACGAGATGCGCATGACAATCGCATTCGATTTTTTGCACAGACCTAATGAGAATGTTCTATGGCAAAAGTTACTCCAACAGATTCAGCTGGCCCTGGTTGTTTGATGTGACTTGTGACAAAGAGTTTCTGATGCATATTGCTCTATACACTCTGAAAAGACCTTGATTGGCTGACAATGGGAATAAGAGTGCCCAGGGATTTTTATAAATCTGCCAGGAAACCATGTTCTGATTACAAGCTACCAGGTTGAGTCAAGTAATTACTGGATTTGCCAAGCTTTTTTGCCAGGTTAGTGGCTTCAGTGAGTGTTCATTTGAAGTATGTGAAGGCTATGACATTTAATTGCTCACTTGCTGTTACGTTGTGCTATTTTGCATAATGGAAACATATTACTTTGAATTTATATCACTTACAGAAGAGAATATTACAGCAAAATGTAGTGTCCTGCCGATAAATTAGTTTCAACCTCATTAAACAGTGCAAGCAATCTGTCAAACAACTTGACACGGCAATCCTAGCTTATGAAACTATTTGCTTATGACTTCAATTGAAATATTTAGTGTGTTCATGCTTTGGACAGCTTGGGTAGTACACTTTTTTTTTTTTCTCTGCCACTTTCACTCACCATCTGTTTTTCCACCATGTACACACTAACATTCAAAAATTTGGGGTCTGAGATTTTGTTCATCAAAGAATTCTGAAAGTAGACAAAAAATATTAAGCATATTACAAGCACAACTCTTTTCTACTATATAATACTAAGCGCAACTATTTTCAATATTGATATTAATAAGAAATGTTTCCTGAGCAGCAAATCAGCATGTTAGAATAATTTCTGAAGGATCATGAGACACTGAAGACATGCATCACAGGAATAAATTTTTACAATATATTCAAATAAAAATCCGGTATTTTAAATTGTAATAATATTTCACAATATTACTACTTTTTTTCTGTATTTTTGATCCAATGAATGCAGACTTGGTGAGCATAAGAGGATTCTTCCAAAAACATTAAAAAGTCTTTAAAAACTGATTTTGAAAAGATATTGTGGTGCTAATTATTATTGTACTATTTATTTTTACGTATAGCATCAATTTTAGAACTTGTAGCATTAATAATGAAGCGTTTGTTTAGTGCAGATACGTTTTTGTATTAATTTTGCACGTTTTTTTTAAAGATGTTTTGCAAGAATGTGAACATTCTAGAAGTTTCTATAACATTCTGTAATATTCTAGTGCTTTCTGGAATATTCCAGAACATCGTGGGACTAGTCATAACAAGACAAAAATTATCCAACGTACACTGAATTTTGGACGACTCACTTTTGGTAACCGTTTATGTTAAACTGTTGTTAACTGAGTATTATGCCATTTTTATGCATTAGTAATAACAGATCAGCTGTTTTTTTTTTTCAGTTTTCATGAGCACCGTTAATGATACACAAAACATAATGTGATTTTCATATTCAGCATGTCAAACATCATGAAGAAACATTAAGAATAAAAGCGAAACAAATTTTCTAAAAGTACTCAGCTGTAAAGTTGCATGCAAATACCACATGACTTTAAGAACCATAATGTAGAGTTTTATCTCGCGACACCACTTAGTTGGAAAAAGTAGCTGGAAAATCAGTTGAATAACTGTCACACGACTGAAAGTTATGTTTTAGTTACTCCCCAGACATCGATTGATTAGTTCAAAAGTCGTTGTGTCATGCAGAAGAGGTCAGGTTTGTTGACCCTTGTGTTAATTACTCAGCACTGGCAATTAACTACTGCTCATCTAATCTCTTAATCCCATCTGACCTAAAGACAAGAGCACTCTGAAAGAAAAGAGGGCTCAGAGAACACTCAGACGGCTGAAAACCAAATGGAGATGTCAGAATCACTCCATTCCCATGCTCGCTGACCGTCTGACTGCCACTGGATTATCAGATGGGATGGACTTTTCGGATTTTATTAGACACGGCCTCAAATTGAGTTCATGTTTCTTGACCTGGTGATATATATGTCTTAAATATATGTTGAACAGTTGTCTATAATAGACCAGATTAGTGCAAAAAATTATTCAAGCACCTGTCATTCTGATGCAGTTGGCTATAAAAGAATACAGTGCTGTGAAAATGTATTTGCCACATCTTGATTTCTTTTAGGTATTCAGATGAAATACAACATGAAACAAAGGCAACACATACAGTGTTTATTTATTTAGTTTAATTTACACATAAAAGGTTGTCTGACACCTAACATGCATGTGGAAACTTTGTGACATATATCATGCCTCGTGATTGCAATCCAAAATAAAGCCTTAAAAAGAACAGAAAGTCTTCATTTCATAAAGTCATTGCATTAAATGTTGCATGCACTGCAAAAAAATAGTATCTTGCTCAGTATTTTTGTCTTGTTTTCCAGTACTAACATCTAAACATCCTTAAATCAATATACATTTACTTGATATGCAGAATGAAAATATGAAGTCTTGTTTTCTAAGAAACTGAACACAAAAAGTGAGTTTATGCTTAAAACAAAAACAAACATCTGTCAATGGGGAATGAAAACATGCTTTCCCTTTGAATTACGTTCATTTTCTGAGCCCATTGGCAAATATTTGTTATTGTTTTATGCATAAATTCATTTCATTTTGTGTCATTTTGCTTCTCAAATAAATGTGTTTTGATTTAAAGTGACAGCACTTTCTTAATATTAATCAAACCGCAACAACAAAGAAATCACTCACTGCTCTTGATTGAATAGCTTTTGTAACTTTAATAAAGATTCATCTTTAATTTATACAGTCAAATATGCAATGCTGTTTTACATTTCATTACTTTATTCAATTTCTGTACCTGAAAACTAATGTTAGAAAAAAAACTGTAAAAAAACTGAAAATCACTGTTTATTTTATTTGTATCTTTACTCTATTGTATTTATTTGTGCTGTTGCCTGTAGTTAGATTATTCTTATTTTCTTTATTTTTATTTGACAGTATAGTTTTTGCTTAAACATCGCACATACCGAACCGTACCGAAACCGTGACTCTAAAACCGTGATACAAAACCGAACCGGGAGTAAGTTGAACCGTTCCACCCCTAATATATATATATATATATATATATATATATATAATGTATGTATGAGCAGCATCTCACGAGTAGCAGTGTGATATGGCTGTATATCAGCACGGCTGTGTTTCTGGCGTAGGCACGAGGCTGCAGGTAATCACAGCATGCAATACAACCATATCACACGGCTACTCGCATGATATTGCGTTTATACAACAGTTTTTTCAATAAAAAAAGCGAGAACAACGGAATGCCTTTAAAAACCTTATTTTTTTACGGAACTATTTCCTTCCGCCACGGATTCAAATCTCAAGCTGACAGCTCAACAGCTGAGCCCAAGCCTCCGTTACTAATTAGAAAATGAATTTAGAACTAGTAACGAAGGTTTAAAATTCTGTATTAAAAGCTCACATCTACGAAAACATCGAAGCAAATTTTCAAATAGACATTATCTTTATTAACAAACCGCATATTTGAAGTCTAAACAAATACATTCTCACCTAAAAACTCTTAAAACTACATTCCGTGACACAAAAACAGTATTATTTATAACATTATAGTGAGTTTGGGTGTCAGCCATGACAGGCTGTGAGAAATACCGCAAACAGAGTGATACAAACGGTGAAACGGTTGGAATGCTGTTATCAGTAGAATATCGCATGGCTGGAAAAGGCACTCAGCCAATCAGATTCAAGAACTAGAGAGAACTGTTGTATAAATGTATGTCAACATATATTTCAACTTGATAGTTTATATGCAACTCAGTTTTTATTTAAGTGATGATTATTAAATAAATGTGATTAATTTATTATTAAATGTTGTTTTTGTTCTTGGTTTTGTTTTCAGTTCAAATTTTTATTTTTATTTATTTATTTATTTTTAATGGTGCATCACTAGGCTTTTTGCCATTCCTTAGGTGTAATTTCCCTACTTCTAACATGAAGGTGTAATTTCCTTACTTCTAACATGAAAAACTAGCAATTTATGAAAAATATTTAGTTTTTCCATGGGAGATTTTAAGGAGTCATGTCAAATGGCTGCTATAGTAGTAACAGAAATGTGGTGTGAAAGCACCATTCAAATCAGGTTTGGTCCAAAAGCAAGATTAAAGAAAAAGCTCAAAGCCTTTGGGAAGGAAGCCTCTTGGACATTTGGCAGAATGACGGCCACAAATTTTACATCCATTCCGCCCCATTCCCTCTGGGTTGTCATCATGCCAGGTGTCTCTGCAGTGCGCTGGCAGAGTGTGCATGTTACCCATCTCTTTGCGCTTTTCCCCATCACTCCCAAGCTCCACGTTATGTGACCCGAGAAGCCGGCACACACGATTTATGACTGCGTGTCGGAGTAGCCTGCACCATTAGTGTAATTCTAGGAGTGGAGCCAGTATCCCGTGAATCAATTGCCATGATTGAGTGGGAGATAATTAGCCGGCCCTGATTGCCCACAACAAAGAATAATACTTTCACCTAAGTACGCAGCACACAAACTACATTTCATGACTCAGTGGAGTTTAATTCGGGAGTGTTTATTGCTGCAAAACCTAGTGAGCTGCCTTTTAACACAGCCTCTAACTGACAAAGAAATTAAGTGAACGATTTGGAACTAGGGATATGCCGGTATCAAATTTTCATGTTGCGATTCATTGCTAATGCTTTTATTACGGTATACGGTATTATCACGATATTGAAATTAAGTAAAAAAAAAGTGCTGTCATAATACAGTATAACAGGTTTAATAACTTTTTTCTTATCGCAAAAATAACTGAACATTTAAATGCAATAAAGCAATACAGAAAAATGTATAAAGTTAAAAGTTTTACACAGATTAAAGTGCCAGCGGTGTTGTGCATTTTGACCAGTTTATGGGAAAAGTATTCTTAAAATGCATTCAAAATTTGGAATAATTTGTAATATATAATTATTCAAGGTATTTAGAAGTGCCCACGATAACAATATCGTGCATATTCATTACCGTGATATATCGCATTACCGAATACTGGCACAAGTCTATTTGGAACATAGCACATGCACATTTTAGGTAAAATTTACTATTTTATGGTAGCACTTTATAGTAAGGTCTCATTTGCTAACATTACTTTATGCTAATAAGAACTAACATTGAACAATATCCTTTTACAGCATTTATTTAGTTATTTATTGTTTATTTTAGTTCATAAGGCAGTTGGACATAGTGGTGTATTAGAGGTAAAAAATGATATAAATACTGTTCGGTTTCTGACGCAAACCAAACGTTTCATGTCTTAGGACATCAATGTGTCGTCATGAGCCGTAGGGTTTAATTTGGATTTGTCTGTGCATGTTTTTTTTACTCTCATAGATTTTGTTACCATTGCCATGCATTATACGACTGATAGACTGCAACGGTTGGACTTAAAAATCATCAAATGTGTTCTACTGAAGAAACAAAGTCACCTACATCTTGGATGCCCTGGGGGTAAGCAGATAAACATCACATTTTCATTTTTGGGTGAACTATTCCTATAACAAATGTTAAAGTGATAGTTCACCCAAAAATGAAAAAGAGTCTTTTTCACTTTTTCCCCCTCAAGTTGTTCCAAACCTGTATGAGTTTTTTTTTCTTCTGTTAAACACACACACAAAAAAAATATATTTTGAAGAATGTGGGTAACCAAATAGCTGCTGGTCCACATATATGAAAAAAATACTATGAAAGTCAATGGAGGCCAGAAACTGTTTGGTTACCCACATTCTTCAAAATATTTTCTTTGTCATTTGTGTGCCACAGAATAAACTCATGCAGGTTTGGAGCAACTTGAGGGTGAGTAAATGGCAGAGTTTTAATTTTTGGGTGAACTATCCCTTTAAAAGATGAGCTTGATTTTATTATTACCAAATGTTGAAATTAACTAAGATTAATAAATGCTGTAGTATCGTTCATGTTAACTAATGTAGTTAGCTAATTTGTTACAAATAGAATCTTATTGTAAATTTAATTTTCTTTTTTATTAATGCATTTTGGTATTGAATTATTATAATCAGCATTTCTGTCATTTTATCTTATTAATGTATTCATGTATTTATGTATTCATGATTTTCTTTGAAATTTATAAGCCGCCATATATTCTTATCCCAGAATGCATGATAAAGGTAAAAAAAATAAAATAAAAAACGGACAAAAGGAGAGAAATCTTATAAATATTCTTGGGATTAAAATCAGTCAATATCAATATTTATTAAAAAAAAGATTG